TGCAACACCATCGGGGTCGACCGTGGGACCGGTCGACCCTGCATCCGCATCACCTATAGGGTGATCTGACCCGAAGATAGTCGGACTTACCAGACATGTTAGGACCAGACATATGTGCTACTCTCGGGTAGTCATGATGCTCGTGATGCAGTGCCTCCGTCACTCGCAGCACCAACTTCAGCCTAGCCTATCGGCTGGCTTTCGTACTTTCAATGAACTTGTTTGATGAATGACGATGAGACGATGAAGACAACGAACCCTGTCCAAATCATTTCTCCCACTGCTATCCAAAGAGGTTCGCTCAGTATTGAATGGCAAGCAACAAACATGACTTGATACCACCTGTCTGAATGGACACCCCAGTTCCGCTTGTATTGAGTCAGCCATTTCAAATCATTTCAAATTGGTGACCCCAACTGCACACGCACACATACACATACAAAGAAAACACAACAAACACAACCCTTGCCATCCATGATCATCGCTCCCTCCCACCTCCTCGTCCTTTGGATTCCTTTGGTCCAGGCACCGATTCGCCCGGGTGGGCTTTGAGGCTCTCAGCGTCGAGGCCGAAGTTGGTGACCCACTCGAGCTGGGCCAAGGCGCCCTCGCGGGCGGAGCCGGAGCCGCGTTGCGGAGCCGCGACGGAGCGGCGTCGTGGTCTGGAGTCGTGGTTCGTCATTCGGTGGATTCGCCCATCGATTCGTATTCCTGGCGTTTATAGGACAAATATGGACAAATCATCTTGGAGTGGGTGGGTCCTGAAGCCTCCAAGAAATACTGTAAGTCTGGAACTTGATGGTTAGACCAATTCTGAATGGCCAAAATGGATCGAGGGTGTTCTGTCTCCCAAGTGATAAGGCTTCTCATGCAAACCAAATGTATGACACTGAGACACAAGCCCCCAAAGGACACTCTGTTCCAGGATGTTAACATAACTTAAAATACATCCGTGATCATCCGTGCGTATTAACTCATATCAGCATGTACATGTAACATCCTGGATGGATGGATGGATGGGTGGATGGACATGTGTTTGAACATCCTGCAACTGAGTGTCCTTTTGGGGGGTTCTTTCTGCATGGCCTTCTCCAAACCCAACATGATGCTTGACACACATCACACGATACTACACGCATGTTCGTCCCGTCCTCCACCGGAAGAACCTCGACCCCAACAGGTCGGACCGACCGGACACCGAGCGTCGCGTTGAAGCCGTCGCCTTCAGGGACTGCAGCAAGGCACTGGCGCTCAACATCGCCAGGTGCCGCCCCCCTTGGCCCTGCAGCTGCATTTCCATGCGGAAGCCCAACGTGGCAAACTGCGCCTCGAAAAGGTGACTCGGAGAGATGCTTCACATGGTGTAAAACGTGTAAGGTGTAAGACGTGTATGTGGCACTTGAGTCGTAAAACCAGAAAGTTTGAGCAGTCCTCATTTGACCCACTTGTATATATTTAGCATGCCATTTAAATGGTTTCTCGTTCTTTACAGAAACGTACATTGTCTTTCTATGTTTTTCTACCTTTCTAATTTTTGAGCTGCTCTGCATTTATCTACATTCCGCTGTTTTCTAGCTTCTCATTGTTTGCTCTTGTTTGTTTTTTTCCCGGTGCATGCTTTAAGTTGCGATTTGGACGGGTCTCCAAGAATTCCCAAAAAGCACTAAAGCTGGACCTGAGCGTTGTCAGTTCAAACAGAAAATGGCGACACATGGAAAAGGTCAACCCACATGGAACCCGAAAATGATGGACCAAACCCATGTGGGTCTCTTCCAGCGTACTTTCCAGGGTGTATTGTTGCCTGCCTGGCCTGCAGGAAAGAACATCCCCTCCTTAATTAGTGCGTCCCATCGTACTTTGCAAGTTCTCCAACGCATTCAACGAAACGAGAACTGAACCATCCCCGGACAAAAAATGAAACTCCAGCAACATCGAAGCTTCCCCACACGAACCTCAGTTTAGCATACTTTAGCTATATATAATTCTTTGTCGTCTCTCTGACTCTTTCGCTACCCGGTCGTTCGCTACCCTTGTGGGACATCTACCCTCGGGGTTCCCCCTTCCATGTGCCCCACCAGATTCACTGCGCAAGAACATCCCACCGGGTCGCGATGGAACAACCACGAACGAAAGAGGTCCGCCTGTTGGTGTAAGGTCCGCCGTTTGAAGGCGTTTTCTTGGATGCTCCCAACTTGACTCAAGACATCTCAAGACTCAAAAACTCTTTCAAGGGACCCAAACCATCCCAACCAGCTCTTTGAACGCATCCCTCTTGTTTTCCGGAAATATCTCTCCTAACCAGCTCAAAGGGAAAATATCCCAACCAGGGTGTTTCCTTTTCTCCGTTGAACGCCCCAGTTACCCTCCCTCTCCCAGCGGCCGCGATCTGCTCCTCAGCCGCATCGGAGGCGTTGCGCGAGGCGTTCCTCGCGCGGTCGATGACCTGGAGGGGAGAAGGCGAGGCCAAGTTAAAGGCGTCATGTTCACTTTAAAGAACGAAAGAAAGCCTTTAAACAATTCCCATCTGATCTTAAACGCCAATACCTGGAGCATCCCCTCATCCGTTCGCTGACCCACCTGCTGCTGGCTTGGCGTGAGCCGCGGCTGCGCGGCGGCCCATGCGCAGCAAAGGACCCAGGGCAAGCGCTGCATGGGATGACTCTTGCCCTGGAGGAACTCGGTGACAACAAAGAAAACCCCGCACCACTATGCAACGAGCGTGACTATAACCCTTTACTGCTTTATGAAGATGAAGGTTCTTAGCAGTTCATAGAAGAGCATGGCTTAAAAGTTGTTACCTTAAAATTAAAGGAGCCGCCTAGAACCGCTGTCCAATATCTACTGGACCTGTACAAGATTGCACACTCATCGCAAGTCGCTTTTCATGGCGAAACGAAACGATCACCGACGACTCTGGCCATTGGCCCCACGTCCCACCTCAAACCACTCTCCTCCTCACGCCATGCTTGCTGGCGGAAGCTTGCTTCGAGCCAAAATGGATGTCGAATTTGGTGCTGTTGAATGCTTTTGAAGCGCATCGAGGGATCCAAGCCAAATTCCACCATTGTTCGGAGGCCAACACATGAAACATCGGCAAGGAGCCTTTCAAGGCGCAAGTTTGTGGTTTTGGAGATCTCTTCTGGGTCCCCCCGATCTGAGGGTCCCCGGCGCCCACCTCTTCGCAGGGAGCCTCGCATCCTCGGGCGATGACGGTTCGGAACCGTGGATCTCCGAGAGGTGGATGACTGTTGAGCACATGAAGTGGATGACTGTTCACTACACCTGGGGCAGAAGTGGGTAAGTCATAGGTATAGATCACATGATGTCTTTGAGAAACCAGCCTTTGGGAGGAAGCCTGCGGGGTTAAGGGAGACATCTAGTTTCTCTACTCTAGTTTGTGCAACCAGCCTGGTGGTTCAGCTTTGTTGCCTAAAAGTCTGCTGCTGGTTGAATGATCAATGCCAACTTCGAGCCCTTCAAGAGGGTTGACTAAGAGTCTTATCAAGAGTCTAATTGCTTCGATTCACCCTCCCACTGACCGCTCCACACTTGGACCGCTCCCACTGAGGGCGTTACGACTGCAACACGCCAAGGCCGAGTAGAGGTCCTTCACCGTGCGCTGTTGACCTCGATGGGCTCGAGGCCGCTGGGGGTGTCTGGTCTGGCTTATAAGGGACACGAGGTCGTCTGAGGGAAATCCGATGAAATCCGGCTTCCAATCAGATCTAGATACAAAAACTATCAAACACTCTTTCCCTTTGGATATCTTTGGACTTAGTTACCCGCAGGTGGGCGGTCATGATACAGTAATGAAACAGGTGTATCAGTGCGTGTTACGCAAAGGAAGCCGAAACCAAGCACCTGCTCAGATTTGAATCACTTTGCGCCACATTAGGATACATTACGTCACCAGTGAGGTGATCATCCAAAGATTGACCAACACTGGGTCAGCCCTTTAGATGAACCGATGGCAAAACACCACTTGGATACACCGATTGTGAAGTGCAGTACTTATGACACTTGCATGCAGTGGACTGAGTAAGCTAGTTAAACTGCAGGCGCCAAAAGCTATAACATCCCAACGCTTCCGGTAACCACTCTTAGCTGAGACTCCAGCTACATAGCTATGTAATATATAAATAAGACCATGTCAAGAGCTCAAGTTCCTTAAGAATCCTTTGGGACTGCACCAACAATGCCACTGAGAACCGGTGGAGCCCTGCATGTTGACTCATTTTCGTTGCTTCACTTGACCTCGAACTTCGACCTACCCTACGCATCGCTACGCCATACGGTACCGGTGGCCGGCCTTGCAAAGCAGCCTCGATGAGCGGCAAGTTCTTGACCACCTCCTCATAGCCTTGAGCCTCGTGTGCTCCATGGTGCTCCAGTTCCAATCACCATGCATGAGTACAATGCCTCAGGGGTCGTGTAACTACACTGGGTGATGGTTGAGCCCAAGAAACCCCAATCATTGAATCTTTTCACACTTGTTCGCTCCCATCCAAACCCAAAGAAGGGGTGCAAGTCCGCTTTCACCTGTAGATTTCTTGTGGCTCAATGATCCCTCAAGAAGGGATTGCCAGGTTGTTAATCCACGAAGCCTGCCCTACCCCTCCACAGGATGATGTTTTGGTTGAGTCCATTTTTCAGTCCACGCCAAAAACGCATTCATCCCACATCCCTTTCTTGACAACTTAGACAATTCTTGTCAAGTGAAGTCCTTTTCATGGAACTGGCGAAAGGGATTTGGATGGATGGTGCTTCTTGTTGCCCACAAACGTACTCAAATCCTACTAAGTTCATGAGTCAACTTCGGGTGCCACCTGGACCTCCTGGACCCGGCGACAGCATTTGGTGGATCTTCAGACCGACCCAACAAAAAGGGAGGGCAACTCCAAAAGCATCCCAAAAACCCGCTGCCCCGAACCAGGTGGCCGTGCTTGAGTCTCTTTCCCCAAAGCAAAAAAAAGGCGCTCAAGAGGCACTCCGTCGCGGTTTTTTCTCGTCACGCAGGTGCACCCCCGGACTCACCGGGTGCGGGGCCGACGCGAAGCCAAGTGAGGGCGAGATATTTTACCTTGGATGCGTGTCAGGTGGATCCTCCTTTCCCAGTCAGACGTGGCAGTGTTTGGCCTAAGGGAGCGATGAAGCTGGGAACAGGTGTTTTCAGGGCGAAAGTCGGGAAGAAGGGGGAGAGAGTGAGGAGGGCTGGATCGGGACACCCTGAAGCACCAATCTGTCGAATCGGGACACCCGGCTTTGGACGCACAGAATCGGGTTGCCGCATGGAGTCATTGACTCAAAGGATCCCAGGATTGGCACCATGTCAACATGTGGTGATGAATGTTGAATATGATTGATAGTGGGCACAGTAAATGGCTTTAATCCGATAATAGCATTATAATGGTACCATCATCACTATGCATTATTGGCCATCGGATTCCCATCCAAGTTAATACAATGCATCATACCTGGAACCTAGTGATTCTCAAAGCCTCATGCTTCAATCCCTCTTCCCCCCTCTGCTGTCGCCGTCGCGACCGCGCGTTTCGTGCACGCGCCTGGCCGGGCGTTTTCAGGGGCAAGGCCCGTCGCTGGGCGAGCTCGGTGGGGGTTCCGTCCTCACGGTTTCCACCGGCGACGTGGCGAAACGGGCGATGGCCGGCAATTGAACGTCGGTCGAACCAGCAATTAAAGGGAGAAGAGGAACGAGAAGCTACTAGGGGCTCCTGGCATCGCTACTAGGAGCAAGGATGCTTACTAGGGGCTCCTGGCTGTACTACTAGGAGCAAGTAGCTACTACAGTAACAAGAAGCTGTAGGGAGTCACAAACGGTAAGGACATTCCGAAAAAGAAGCGGAACAGGCGCATCAATAGGATTGCCCAGAAGAATCCTGGTGGCATCCAAACTGCGTCGCACGTCTGTCCTGGTTCACCGTGGGCCAAATCAAGGCACTGCCACGGGTTAGTGAGAGCTGCAGGCCACGGCCTTCCTCTAAGTTGGGGAAGTCCGTCAAGCCATCTGGCGAACGGGCCATCCCTCGTGTGGCTGTGAGAAAAAGGAAGGAGGGGCTGCAGTATATATTAATATATATATATATATATTCCAGCAAATACTCAAGTCATCCTAGATAGACTCTGGAAGAATTTCCCCACAGTTTTTCTTGAGTATGCCATGGCTGCTCACATCTACAACTCTTGAGAACGAGTTTTGGCCTTTGCTCATTGTATCCCCTGTTCTTGGCAGTGGCATCTGGCCCTCCCCAAGAAAGGAGGCACGCCGCCACAACCCGCTGAACAAAAACCAACAGTCACATGCTAGTTTCTGGTGAACAAGCAAGGACACTGTAACGCCAGAGTTGGGAAGTTTGGCAGAATCTGTTTCTATTGTTAGAATTTGTGAGATACTTAATTCTTGGGAGGCTAATCGCAGTGGTGGTACGGACAAAGTGCTAGTTGTAGGCACGCAGCAATCATCAGCAATTCATGACCAATGTGTTGAAAGCACTCCTGGTGCGGTACAGAACCCCTTTTTGGTGTCCCTGTTCCCACAGCAAGACAACGACCGCCTCCAGGGACAGCGTTTGGCTGGTTGAGCTGCAGCATCACAACCGCTAAGCGCTGCCCACTCAACCAAAGGCTGGTATCTTCTGGCGGCCTTTGAAGCGGACGTGAGGATGGCGCCGCAGGCTCCATCAAACAGTTACATACGGAAGTGGGCAGCCCCTTGGAAGACCCTTTCTTTAGAAGCAGAATGTTTTCCATTTTAATATTGTTCTATATTCTCCTTTGCAGGGGTAGGGGTAGGGAAGGTATCAAAACATTGTGCAAGGGGGTCATGCCTTTGAAGAATGTGGATGTCACAGGACTTGCGCAGCTACCCGAACTTAATTTTCCTCAGCAACTTGAGATGTGGGTGTGGTGCGAGAGGGCAAGCTCCAACGCGGTCACAGCAAGCTCCAGAAAGCATGCACAATGCACACTTGCTGCAAGTGTATAAGAAAAGAACCGTCAAAACCTGAGTTCTCAAGCAAGGAATCTGTCCACATCCACAAACGGTCACGGCACACCGTTGCAGTGTCATCTTCAATGGCCAGGCCTGGCATCACTACGCGCAACGCTGGCAGCTTCTCCCTGCCGGTATCCTTGGCAGCTTTCGGCTTGGAAAAGTGAACATACCACCGTGCAGTGTCCCGACCGTCGAGTCTTAAAATCCAGTCCTGGGGGATGAGTCACTTGAGTTTAGTGCAGTGACCTCCTCCTCGGCCCCAGTCCTTCCACAGGTCCCTGGGTCAAACACCAACATGCCCAGGATCAGCTGTCTGCAAATTTCACGAGAGTAAACAGCAACTCGGAGGTGCAACAGGTGCTAGACTTCGGATACATTCAACGGGACATGGCTCCTTGGATGACAAACCACTCACCCAAACCTGGTATATACCTAGTTTCAATTCCTCGGCCAAGGGTGTGACCCATCATTACGTTTACTCCAGGAGCTTCAGAGTCTAATGAAATCCTCCACAGTTCATTGCTCACTCTTCCCACCTCTCTCTTTTTTATACAACATTGCATTACTTTTCTTGTGGCTATTTGTATGGATATTGTGTTTGTACTCACCACACCCCCAGTGAGTGAACTGAAGGAGCCAGCTTCCAGGCTTCTCTCTCTCTCTATATATACAGATCTTTCTCTCTCTCTCTCTCTCAGCCTTAGTAGGTTCCTGGATGCCAACATATACCAACCAAGCAAAACAACCCCTCCATTTTACCCCCCTTCTGCTCACCTCTTTCGCACACAACATCCACTCCACCCCTGTTCCGCCTCGAAACTATTTCCTTCAACCCAGCTTTTCCAGGTCACCTCAACCGAAGCCAAGTCGCTGATCAACCGCACCGCTTCCACATGTTCCTTCGGTGCCCCGAAGGCCTCCGCCACCCAGCGCCTCATCGCCTCCGCGGCCGGCGCTGTCCGCCGCTCGGGCGCGGACAGCAGCGCCGTCCAGGGGACGCCCGGCAGAGCTTGTCCGGCCTCCGGGTGATCGGCACCACGCCGGGCGGAGGGACGCCACAAGTCCTGGGAGAGGGACGCCATCGGCATCCGGGGAGAAGGCGTTGGAACCGGGCAGCAGATGTTCACATCTGAATACCGAATACATCAGAACATATCCATATAGCCCGTATGGATGACACCGAATGATACCATACATATATTGCTCATATTATTATTCGCATGTATTGAGGATACCATGAAATATCAAGAATCATTTGGATCCAGGAAGGGCTGAATATTGAAATTCTATGAAATTCTATGCAAGGTTTCCACATACAAACCCGACCAACACAAATTGATGAAATTTTGACTGCTGCAGCGCACCGGCTTTCTGGTCACCTGTCCTTCTCCCCACATGGGCCGCACAGTTGCCACCGGTTGCCACACTCTTTATCTTCAGGGTAACTGTGAACCACCACTTCGAATCCTGGAATTTTAGCAAATTCCCCAGCATCCAATCCCTAATAATAATGCATTGGAATTCGTTTCTATTTAGGGCATGCTCAATCTGTGATTGGCACGTGTCCTGCGTGTTTGCCAAGGTTATCAGCGACTCCAACTGCTCTGAGGTCAGGATCGATGAGACCTCTACGATGGGCAATGGCCAGCCCGCGCGCAGTCGGGCGTTTCTCGTCCGACTATCGGAGCTACTCGCCAGCGTGGAGCAGGTGTTCCAAATGTGCTCAGCTAGGTCCTTGGCTGAACGCTGGGGTTTTCCATGTATGGAGAGCTCAGTGCAGCACTAAAATGCAGGTCTGAAGTTCTTAAGTTCAAGCAAGAATGACACATCCCCACCCAAGCAGCTATTTGGTCGGTTGTCTGATCTGTTGAACATGGGCCAGAACCTTGCGGTCCATCAAGAGCTACATGTGTTGAGGTGACAAATGGTCACAGCCATCCTATTATGCACTCTGGGCTCAAGCATCTGATGTTCCATCAGCCACTTGTATATTGGTGCCCGGACCTGTGCAAACGGGTAGGTAGATACTGCATTCCATTTCTACATATATATATATGTATATATCTACCAACATCCCCTACAACCTACTCCACGAAATGGACTCTTCCAACCGGTTGGACCCCCATCGCTTGCGGTGGGCGTCAGGCTCCACCTCTTTGGGCGGCTCGCCCCACAGTTGCAGCTTGGCACCGGCCTCCTCGGCCGCCCAGGCCATCAAACGCACTTTGCCTCGCAACGAGAAACGGCGGACGCAGCCATCTCCATGGAGATCCTCATGATAGACCATTTTGAGTGTTTCACTGTTTTACCTGGGGTATGGGTCCATTCCCAAAGAACATTCGACATGATTTACAACAAAATAACAATACCATTACCATGCAATACCATAATAGAAACGGCGTCTTTTGGGGTTCCATGTCCGTGGTCTTTCGAAATCGTCGCCTTGTAGCCGCGAGTCGCTTCATCGGAGTCGCCTCCAGGAAGTTGGGTCAGGTGCACTTGGAGGCCTTCCTCACGCAACTCACGCGCGAACGTGGGTGGAATGCTTGAGACAATGACTGGTTGCTTGTGTTTTGGGTACTTCGTCGGTTTGCGGGATGTTGTGAAAAGTTAGAAGCTTGTGAAATTCCAGCGTCCAGTTCACAAAATCAACATGTCTCCAAAATTTGAAGGAGTCCGGAACAAGCACTTCCACAACTGAAAAAACAACTGCTCCGCCATCTCCCCAGCCAAGCAAACAACGAATAAACAAACACCAAAGGTCAACCTCCCAGCATCAAACGTTCGGCGTCTGTCCTTAAGCATCAGTTGGCACTGCTTCGGGATCCGCTGCGTCGCGCGTGCCAGCGCAAAGCCAAACTCTGCCACCTCATCGTCATCAGCATCCAGGCACAGCTGTGAGCCCCACTGGCCCAGCTCCTACAGCGTTGGGCGGCCGGGGTGATGAGTCCCAGAACCTATATTAGACATGAAATTAGTTGACCATAAAACCCGCAAAAGGTCGCATCGTGCATCAACGGTCAAGGATAATATTGTGGGTCAAGGGTGTCAACACTGTCGGTTTTGAGGGATCTGAGTGTACCTGGAGCATTCCTATCCTTCACTTGAGGCGGTGTGTCACTTATGTTGCCTTCTGAATCATTTTTTGTCTCGTTTGTCTCCAGTTTTAGACTGCTCTACGCCACATCTGGTCTTGCACACCTGATGCCCTCTTTGAGTGCTTCTTCCTGTAGATGGGAAGCACTTTGAGCGTCTTAGGTATGGTGAGTGACCCCGTGATCATTGCGGATATACAGTAAATGGTGGTTGATCGAAATTCCTTCTTGCGGAAAGGCAACCAAAAAGAGTTACTTTCGCGAATCTTTCGCGAACTCCATGTTTAACTTTCGCGGGGGTATATCCTCTAGAAATCTTCCTGGTTTAGTGGTCCTACATAGCAGCCTAAGCCCTTCCATCTGTTTGTTGTGTTTGTATTGGACGAGCGCGCCATCAACTGCTGTCATGCTCATGTCTTGCTAGGTCTTTCGCTGCTTGGCTTTGGCAGGGGCCACAAAACAGGCCTTCACATTTGCCTATGCTTTCGCGGAACTTTCGCGAATCTTTTGCCCACAAATGTCGCATCATTGGCGGGTTTCTAGGCCCAAAGCGAAACAACAAAAGAGTTACTATACAGCCTAGGGATTGTGCACCACAAGTGTGAGCTATATAATGTGCAGTGTAAAGGCTTGTGAATGTGCCACTGGCGGCTGACTGTGCCTATAGCCATGGCCAAGCCAAATCACCAATGTGAGTGAGCTTGAAACCTAAAGACTGCATCGAAAGTTAGGAAGCAAGGCCCCTCCTCCTGAGTGAAGGGGGTATGCAGTATATAGTTGTAACTCTAACAAACATAGAGTATAATATGCAACAGCGCTAAGCCAATTCTTGTTGCCTAAACAAGAAGTTTATGTTTGGATTAATTATTTCTTTGATTGAGAGTATAGAGTATAATATGTATAGCAGGATCTTTTGCAGATCTTTCACGAACAAACACATACTTTCGCGAACTCGAGAAAAACGTTCGCGGACAACTTGACTTGAAGAGGCTCTCAGTGACATTGGCCTTATATCGACCGTTCGATCAACTACCAACTTGAGGCCCCCAATTCTGTCTGTCAGAGACAGGCACATGGCTACAGTAGTCCTTTTGGTGTCTTCTAAAATCTTCTAAACACCGAAATAGTGCCCTTTTAATAAACTTGTGCAGTAACAATCCCTCAACTATGCACGGATCGCCTTGTAGGCCTCATCGTAGCTGTGCCGTGCCGTGGCCATGGCCTCCACGTGCAACAATTGATGGCGGACGAAAACCAGTTACTCTGCTGTTGGTGGATCAAATCCTGGACCATTATGGTATTTAATTTATTCTTTTTTATTCCATCCGTAGTTCTTGAAAAATGATGGGACCACCCCCCAACATGGATCAAAATGGAGACCCTCAAAATGGGATGACTCCAAGACCCTCGAGCTCTTGTGATTTTCCAGTTGAAATCCTCACGGTCTTGCTTTTTCAAGTCCACTCTCTTGGCGGAAAAAAGGTGCTGACACCTGAAATCGACGCTTTGAAGCTGACGTTTCTCTGTCTCCGCGATTCAGTGAGGTCTAGAACCAGTGACAGCGACACTCGAAGTGGGGCCTCCAAGATGATGGTGACCTCTGGAAGGGGCGCCTTCTTGAGCGCTTTCTGCAAAGCCTTGTCACCCACCGTCGAAAAGAGCCAGGCTGTGGTTGAAATGGTGTCGTGTGGTGTCATCAAACACACCCAGTCAAATGAACTCTGTCTCATTCTGCAGGTCTCTGAATGGTCCTTTCTTCGATTGCAGCCAACGGGCATAGACCACCACGGGCCTCGGTGTTGATGCTCCCCGAAAAGCACATTACTGCTGTCGTGCTTGCTTTGGATCGTGCTTCTCCCGCAGTGAACAACTTGACCCGAGGGGCGCCAGTTCGGTCTCCAGGTCAGGGCTGAAAGCATCGAAGAGCATCGCCAAGTCATCTGACACCAGTGGCTCCTTCCAAATGCCTCAGCGCCGACGAAGCACGGTCACGAACTGGGGAGGACGTCAGTGATGAGGGCGTTGTTTGTTGCTTTTGGCCTGTTGGACTTGGTCACCGCTCTTTCCAGCGGCCGCAGCACGAGGGAAACAAATACACCTTCTTCTTTCTTTCTTCCTTTTCTTGATTTTGTCATATCTACCCCTCTGCAGTGACTGAGGTTTGAGACGATGGAGAACTCAAAGGCACTGGGGACTGCGGGTGACATAGACATGATTGTTTGAATCAAACTGATATATGCACCAAAGTCTACCACAGCATCCAGCTACTTCAACAACACCGCCCCAGGGATTTGTTTCAAGCTTCAGCAATAATAGCGCCTTTTCTAACCAACATCTTTTTGAAGCCTGTGAGGTTTTCTAGGCTTCCAGAGTCCACCACCCACTTGAACATCTTGGAAAGACACCGGTGGTCACCCACCTTCACACTTGGTGTTTGGGCATGCTGACATGGTATCGAGACGGAATGGTATCGTGACTTGGGTGAAACAAGTGTTTTGGCCCCGAAAACGCTAGTGCTTGAAATCGTCTTCGCCCAATAGGTGACCAGGCTGGTGAAGAGAATGAAGGCACACCCAAACTCCACGGACTCCACTCCTTCCGGGGTCCTGGCCATCTCCCATGAGCACATCTGGAAGCCATCCTTGGGCTCTTTCGAAAACATCCGTCGCCGGAGATCCCAGCACGCCCTGCATTTTGGTGGATGTTCAACAATGCAACAGTCTCAGTGTGATCCTCAAAAACATAGTATTATCATCAAAAAAAAGAAACGGTTTCCAATACATGTTCAGTGGGGATCCACTTTTCTAATCGTTTCTATCTATTTGGGGGTTTCTTTAATGAGTTATGACATGTTATGATGAATTATTTTTGGCGACGGTGGATCGTTCTGCTGTTTGGGGCTAGAAGCAGCAAAGGGGTAGATCCGCGAACATGACATGCACATAAACTCGCAAATTGTGGATTCCACAGCAGGCTTCCCTCCCGAGGAATCCATTTGTCAAGACTAGTCTCTGGCAATCTGTCCACCAAGTTCAGTGATCTCTCCATAAGCACCTGCAACAGCGACCACCCAAGCAAGCAATAGGCTCAAAGTGGCTCAATAGGCCAAAACCACAAATCATGTGAAGCACCGCATTCTGTCTTCGCGAGAGACATCTGGTGGAGACATGGAGCGCGGAAAAGCCTGACTCGTTCTATGCTGTTACAAACCGGCGGTGGTGCCAACGAACGACACTGTTTGCAAAGAAAGAACGACACGTTCGTCTTCCCAAGTGCTCAGCTCATGTCACCTCGATGTTTCTGATTTGGATAGCAGGGTGCAATCATTCAAACAGGTTTCGATCGAGCCAACCGGCAAAATGCCTTCACCACCAGCATTCTCAAGGGGGAGATGAACCCTAACTGCACTGCAATAGAACATGGGAATGGACAGAGTAATAGATGTTAGATGATGTGTTAGTGAGTGTCCCCATGTCACTGCCAAATGAATCCATAGCCCATCACGGTCCATGAAGCCCATCACGGTCCATGAAGTCTATCATAGCCCATCAGTCTTGCCTTCAGTCTTGATGTGTTGCTGCCCCTTTTTCATGCCCAGTGGTGATGACCTTCTGTAAAGTAAACTGGCAGGTTCGTTCTTTGTGTTCTAGTATCCATGGTAACTGACTAACCATCTCATTTGAGGACTGGAAGTTCTTTGTCTTCGGGGGTGTATCATCTAGTGATATGGACATCTATTATGTCTACATGCACATGTGGTCAAACGATTGCTAGTTGGCAACTAGTTACAACTACAGTTGCAACTGCCTCTGGGTTGAACATTCAGAATAGGTCATGTCAAAATATTGAATCTTGAACCCAAACACAGTAGCAAGTTGCCGCATTAAGATTCAACATTGGAAAACTGATTCCCCAGATCTTGAAACTTGAAATCCCACCACTCTTGCAACTAGTTGCAACTGTTTCATGGAACATTTCAGCAAAGGCTCGATATACAAGTTTTGCACGATGAGCAGCATGGGACTGCTAATACTTGGTTTGCAACATTGATGAATATTGATGAATGCTTCAGGGACTCAAGGTAGTAAACATTGATGACGTTGATTATATAATGTAGTTGTCAGTGGTGGGGCTGGGACTTTGGCATATTGGAGGGTGCTATTTAGGTGTGAAATTGACCAATAATTAAAATGTATCTACAGATCAGAGTGTGCCCCGGGCGGGTGGAACAGTTCCAGTTCCAGTTCCACGTCGTCCAACACGGGAGACTGGGGAGGGGGGAGGGAAGTTCCAGTTCCAGTTCCACGTCGTCCAACACGGGAGACTGGGGAGGGGGGAGGGGAGTTCCAGTTCCACTTCCAGTTCCACTTCCAGTTCTGGGTCCGAGTCTGGAAGTGATTGCCAATGTCAGTTTAATGTCGATCTTTTTTTCGCGGGGGGGGGAGTTCGAGTTCCAGTTCCACTTCCAGTTCTGGGTCCGAGTTTGGACTTGATTGCCAACGTCAGTTTAGCGTCGATGTTTATTTTTTCCGGGGGGGGTCCAGTTCCAGTTCGAGTTCCAGTTCCAGTGGGGTACACTATGATACAGATCGTAGCTAAAACAAAAAAAACATTTTTGCTGATCGAATCATAAAACTGCTTCTCTTAGACAAAATGTAGTTGGTGATGGATTCGTAGGGCATGGTGAACTCCAATATGGTAAATTGCAATAATCTGAGTTAAAAATAACCCAGCTGTGGACTTCGTATAGTCCCTTTTGATCCCAGGCTTCTGGCAGCAATATCAAAGCCGTCATGCAGCCTGTCTAACTTGCAATCTCTTTTTACAGGGGCTCAGGTCACTATATACATGTCAAGTTTATTATAAAGTTTCCTAGTTATGCGACGTTGTCTAAATCATGCCCCTTGGTGCTTTGCACTTGTATCTATGGATGCTGGATGCGTCAACTTAGAGGAGAGTCATGTAGTCTTCAGCAGTATTTATACCTCTTAAATTTTAAATGTTAATGGCGTTGTTTCAGTACATATACTGTAATATAACTTAACATGTACAGAATCCATTAAGGCTTCTCAGATTGCCACAAATTTCAAGTCAATAGTAAAAACCCTCTGAACTGTCTGATATCTTGACACATGCTCAGAATTTTCAAGTTTAAAATATCAATGGATACAAATGAATATGTTGGCTGATGCCATCAGCAAAGTTCGGATTGTTTTCAGCTGTCAACTCGTTCTGGTACTTTTGGTGATGAAGAGTCTTTGAATGCACAGTGCTAGCAAGCCTTTAGCTCATTAAAAACACTAATAGCCATATATAGTATAGGAAAGCATTGCAAAACTAAGGCTATTGATTGATGGTATGTCTTTGAGAAACAGCGGACGGAGAGCGTCTTTTCTCCACAAAAGGGTGGCTCAAGGGCCCTGGTGTTGAACCAGTGGCCACGGCGAAAAGCAAAGTCAGCATGCGTCCTGGGTCGTTTTGTTCTTCGTTTCTCATCCTTCGGGGGGACCTTCCAGGACGCCTGCCTCCTTTGTCAGCCCATATTTGGCTGTTGCCATGACTCGTCGCAGCAAGGCACTATTGCCTAGGCGCTTGGTCAAAGGATCAGCTATCATCTGCTGACCTGGAACCCAAAAGGTTTTGCACTTCAGTGCGCGTGCGGACACGCAAATTACAGCCACGTCCAGCTGAGCTCTTCTGTCTTGGCCTGCATTGCCGCTCCTGCGGCTGAGCAAGTCGTAGAGCGCTTTTGCGTCTGTGACATGGGCTCCGGTCATCTTGTCAATGACCCTGATGCTAGCCACATCCTCCGGCTCTTCTCCTTCAGGAAGCCGGACCACCATCAGCGACTCTGAGGAGCCAAGTCGCGAGCCATCGAGCACGGTGCTGTACTCGTCCAGGAGCTCATGCCAAAGTGCTCTGAGCCATTCAGCTTCGGCTAAAGCATCATCCATCGCCAAAGCTTCCGAGCCCAGCGTGGCTTTCACCACTCTTCGAAGCTTATGCGAGCGCCAGCTGTTGATGCTAAAGTCTGCCAGCGCTCCATCCATGATGGTCTTGCAAGCGAAGGCCAAAAGGAAACCTCCCTGGGACTTGTTCTCGACATTAGCCATGCTTGCATCTGCCACTGTCACCCATAGTCCTGCATTTGTTGGAATTGGCAGGACTCGAAGGAAAGCATCTTTTGTTTGCTTGAGCTCTGCGACCGTCTTGTTGGCCATGAGGATGTTCTCCACCGTTGGACCAGCTGCCGTCCAAGCCATGGCCATAGCGCAGGCTGCGCCAACGTCAGGTCGAGCCTCCTTCCCAATCCAAAGGAGTGAGCCGCCCATGCCTCGAAGCCATGTGATCTCCTGCTCGGTCAGCTTCGAGGTCTTATCTTTGAGGCGGTCTTTGGCCAGGGTGACAGGTTTGAGCTTCTCCTCAATGTACCTGCGCATGCTCACCTGGATCTCAAAGTCCTTGGTTTGAGTGAGCGTTCTGCCGATGTATTCGGCTGAGCTTTCATACAGGTCCTTCCACTTGCCGAACTTGAGCTGGGTGCGCAGCTTTGCCATCAAGTCTTGGTGGCGCTGGTTTCCACCTTGGCAGAAGTCATCAACATCCAGCAAAACCACTCCTGCCACCATGAAGTCCTCGGGGTTGTTCTTTTCCTCCGGGATGGCAGGCAAGTAGTACAGGCATGGATCAAAGACACTTTCCTGGTAGGTCAGCTCCAGGAGAAGTCGTCTGACTGTCTTTCGCCACACTGCTGGAGCGTTGACAAGTCCATAGACTGCAGTGCGGACATGGATCAGGGCATTCTGGTCAACGTCAGGGATTCCTGTCGGTGGCATGCTGGCATAGAGAGGGCCTTGTTCCCTTTCAACTTGATCGCTCTGTCCAAAAGCACTGGACACATCCATCACGATGAGGTGGTAGTGATGGCTAGCGATGATCTGAAGGACCAGCATCACGGTGGTGGTGGATGGTGTTGGAGCGAATCGCTCGAGTTGGAGGCTGTCTGGATCTCGGTGGCCTAAAAGAATCCACCTGGCTTTTGCCTTCCAGCTTTCACCAATTTCTCCTGTCTTCTTTGTGATCAGGAATCTGCTTGGCATGATCCGGTGCTTGAGGGTCTCACGGATCTCCTTCAGCTTGGCTGGATCGGTCACCAGCTCAATGGCTCCGGAGTTGACGAGGTTGCTGATCTCCAAGAGCTTGGCATCTCTAAACAGCTTCTTTTCTGCTGCTGTGAGGTTCTTTTCATTCAGCTCTTTGCCCTGCTTGGTGAGGTAGTGAAGTGGAAACTCATCTTCAAAGGTCTTCAGGGCATAGTAGCAGTCTTTCTTGTCCAGCAGCTTGAAGGCGTCAATGTCCCGGCTGTTGGCCACAACCGGGTAGAGGGTCTTGTCACCCCATTCATTCTTGGTGTCAGCTCGCCACACTCCAAAGACTCTGCTTTTGTGAGCCGTTCTTTCACTTGGTGCCGGTTCTTCCAGCGATCGCTTCATGCCAGTGTCTGTCAGCCGAGCATCTTCTTCTGGTTCTTTGTCTCGAGCTGGCCTGGCAGTTGTGGTCTTTGTGTTTGCTTCATCTGGAAATGGTTTGCCTGGATCGGGATGTCCTGGCTTTGGCTGGTAGATCAAAGTGGTTTCAATGCTTTGCACACCACTGGGAAGCTTCTGGTGGATCTGGTGCACTGTCATGCCTTGGTGAATGGTTTCATCTCGGATCACCTTGTCAGTGTCCAGGTCCAGCGTGATTCGCCGGATCACATCTCCCCATAGTGGGCCTTTTGAATTGGATGCTCTGAATCGTTTTGCATCCACATCATATCGAACCCATTGTCTGAGTCCTGGGCTTGCAGCTGAGGAAGATGCTGAGCTTGCTTCCTTGGCTGACTGGTTTTCCACTGTGGCTTTCCACAGCTCATCTCCATCATTGGCTGGCTGGTTGTCTATTGTGGCCGGTGCCGAATCTGGTGCTGATGCCGTGGGCTTGCTTGGTGATGCTTGTGTGTTCTCCTCCAAGTCAATGACAGTCTCGGGTTTGTTCTGCCGTGCTTGGTGTGG